ACAGTCCCGGCTCAGCAGTTGTGGTGCATGGGCTTAGTTGCTCCACGGCAGGTGGGATCTTCCTGGACCAGGGCTCGATCCTGTGTCCCCTGCATTGGCAGATGGATTCTTAACCACTAGGCCACCAGGGAAGCCCCTCCTATGAAGGTTTTTGATTCAGGTAAAGGGATTGGCAAATAGTAAGAGCTCAATAAATACTAGCTCTTATTACTATCATTATCATGTACATTTTACATTCTAGAAATAGTAAGTTCTTTGTGGATAAGGGTACTGTCTTTTTAAACCAAATTATGTGGAAGGAATATTAAGGAAGGACCTCAGTATTAAGGTATTGAGTAAATACCTGCCAGGTTACTTGAGGCATAAGAGAAATGTAAGCAGGTGTGGCTGAGGCAGCCCTGGGAATGTTGATGGAAAGAGAAGATTCATCCTAGATTGCAGGCTTTGGGGAGCCTATTATCTGGCTCTCTGATGCTCCATCAGCCCTTTAAACAGCTGGCAGAGGCCCTGTCCCCTTATCTTCATAGAAGCTCCTAATTCTGGCCTCCTGACGCCCCTTTCCTCCCGGGTCCAGGCAACTTCCTGTGAGTCTCAGAGACAGCGCTGACAGCCAGAGTCACAGAGAAGTCGCTGTGCACAGAAGCAGAGTGATGGCAGTGGGCAACCACTGGGCTGGGGCCAGAGGCCCACAAAGCCAAAAAGAGGCACGCTACTGAGACTGCGATGCACCAGGAAGCCTGTGTTTCCCTATTCTGAGAGGAAAGGTCAAAGAGCTGCAGCCTGCAGCCTCGGAGAATGGCCTCCGCTAAACTGCCCTTCCCTTACATCCTTCTCTCTCTCTCTCTCTCTTTTAATAAGAAGGGTGTTCCTTTCCTCAAAGGGAGAGAGAGGGAGGGAGGGAGAGAGAGACTGTAAACTGTCCAAAAGGACCGTGAGAAAACAGGAAGCTTTGAAAAGTACAAGAGAAAGCAAGATGAAATCTATTTGCAGGCGGGCCCCTGGGGACATGCGGGGCATTGTTAAGCAGGCAGTTCATACAGCTATATCCTTCCTTCTGCTGAGGAGGGCTTTGCTGCCAAAAGGCTGCTATCTGGTCACTGCCTTAACCCCCTCGATGCCAGCCTGAGAACCCTGATCCCAGGCACTGGGCCCCTGCAAGTCCCCACTGGGTTTCTCCCCGATGGAGCATCCAAGAGCTGGACGGGGAGATGCAGCCAGTTTGGTGGAGGCGGTGGGGACCCTTTTCAGGGAGACCTCATTCTTTTCTGTGTTCTTGCCTCAGCCTTCAGCCCTCCACTTTGGGCCAGGCTGCAGATGACCTGGTGATTCATAACATAGGCAGCTCCCGGCTTCACCCATCTCAAAGGAGAATTTGTCCCGGAAATTCTGGATGACTGCTTTTCCTGGACAGGTTTCCCAAAGACAGCAGCTGGTTCTTTGCTATTATGGAGTGTGGCTGCTACGAGGATAGCATCCAGATCAACCCCTGCGTGCTTACGCAGAATCTGGGAAGCATATTTCTGAAACATGGCTTAAGTCTACAGGCGCAGGTCTCTGGAGAAACTCCAGCTGGCTCCAAGAAGCAAGGAGTCCAGAAGTCGAGCCAATAGCAAAAGAACCCAGAAGGGCAGTAATTTTTTTATAAGAAAAAAAAAAAACCAGAAACCTTTCCTCCTCGAATTTTCCATCCTATTGTTAATGCCTAACCCCGCAGTAAACGAATATTTCTGTTTGCTGTGGACAGCTGTTTCCACTGAGCCAGGGCCAGAGAGAACCAGTTCATGTGGCCACAGCGGGAGGGATTTATGTTAGGAAGAATTTTTAGTGGTGAGAATCCCAGGAAATTAGAATCTGTTACTTAAAGACTCTCCCTTTTTTTTTTTTTTTTTTGGCAAGTTTTGGGGTAAAGGAGATGGAGTCAACTCTTGGAATATGGCTGGAGCAAGGTCTGCCTCTTTTATCCAGCCATGTCAGTCACATAAATGGAATAACCCTTCCCTGTTACCGCAATAGAGCTCAGGTTTAGTTGTCTGGGCCCGTTCTCCAGCATCACCGTGTAGCCAGCCATCCACTCCTCTCTGAGGGCTGTGAATTGCATGGTGATGAGCAAATGGCCCTCTGTTCCTCTCCCAACTCTCAGACCCCAGCAACCCCTACCCAGGGCCAGATTTCCAAGAATACAGTACAACATGAGTAAGAAGCAAAGTCCACAGGACACCATCTGGAGATGGCCTATCCCACAGTGGGATCTGGAGCTAGTTTATAAATACACAGGGCCCCATTACACAATCTGTAAATTCAGACACGCTCTGAAATTCCTTTGAAATGAAGAAGGGAGATGGTATGAAGAGGACACCAAGCAGGTGGCACTTTGCAGGGAGATGGGGACAAAGAGAGGAAGAACCTGGCAGTATGTTCTGGCACTCGCCAGGGGACAGAGGCTCCTGATCGAGGTGACTGACACCTGTTCTTATTTCAGGAGTGTCTAAGAATGGAGAAGGGCCACCTAAGTTTGACAAACATACACTTTAACATCCAGTTCTTTTTGTTCAAATGATACATACTGCCTTCTAGGCAGTCTCCGAACTCCGTGGTCTCCTGAGAGAACCTGCTCATCAGGAAGAAGTGACCTGTGCAGATGACCAGTCCAATTCCTGTGCCAGGCCCAACTCCCACTGCAGAGTTAAACTGTATTCTATCACAGCTGGCATTTCATGCTACAAGCCCCTCTCTTATGGGGTTTGATGGTGTGACCAGATATCTGGAGCCTTTATCCACCCTCAAGGAGATGTCAGATTGAGTTTCTGAACTGTATAGTTGACCAACAGACACCCTTTGAACCATGTGTGGTGCGCTATCATTGGGGTGAAGGGAGGCCTGGCATCATTGGGCCTATCATGTCCTGTCTCTATGCACTGGTACCAGAGAGAACACTCTAAATCCTCAAGGACCACTTGGTCCAAGACCCTCCAGGCCCCTCTTAGGCCCTTGAGGTAGAGAAACAGAACTGCCTCTGTGCCCCCAAATCACACACAGCTGGCAAGCCCTTTTCCTGCATTGGCTCTGCCCTGACGTATCCCTCTGTTTCAGAGATGTTTTCTGCCTGGTTTAACCACTACTGCTGGCCCTGAATTGGTGAGGTGGAGGAGGGAGCTGGCTGGTCTGGATGGACGTGGATTTTGGGGGGACTACAAACTATGCAATGGCTCCTGAGTATTTTAACGACTTTATGTGCCCCACCACCAGCTCATAAAAATACAGTTCATGCTCGAAGCCCAAGAGTAAACTCAACACAAGGAATGAAGAGGGGCGATAAGCCGCTGATAGCACCTCTACTTGTAGGAGTCAGTAAACCCCTGGCAGGCGGGAACAGCTCTGTTAAAAGTGAAGTGTTCAAGGGACTCAGCGAGGCGGAAGGGAAACCAAAGCCGTGTCTAAAGGGAGACAGAAGAGCTGGTCTGTGGAGTCCACAGGGTCCTGCAGCCAGGCCTGGCTTGACGGGTGTGTGGCCTGTGTGGTCACACGAGGCCCTGAACTCAGAAGTGTCCCGGGTTTGGTGTTACGCTCTGCTTTTATCGTCTTGAAATTCTGAATCGCATCTGAACAAGGGGGCCCCGTGTTCATTTTCCACCAGGCCCTGCGAATTATGTACACCATCCTGCATGCAGCTTCCTCCCCCTTCAGCTCAGATCACTCAAGATGGACATAAATTGACTTTCAAACCACTGGGAACTTGAAGGAAAGGAGGGGAAACACAAGTGGGTGGCAGGAAAAGGGCTGGAGGGAGACCCCTCCCTCCCCCACCTCCGGAGAATGCCCACACAGGTCTAGGGAAGCTCTGGCTCCTGACCCCTCTCACCCCGTCCAGGAGTGGCCAGCACAGGAAAGAAGTCAGCTTCACAGGGGGTTCCTTCAAGTGGGGGGACATGCTGCTGAGGGATTAAGGCAGGAACAGCCCCTGGAAGCAGGGAACCCTACTCCAGAAACAGGGATTGACAAAGAATATCATCTGGACCCCATCAGACACGCAGGACAGAGAGAAGGCAAATCCATTTCAAACAGAAAGGCTCTAACGATATCTGAACGTGGCGATTTCCCTCTGCTTCCCCCTCAGCCCTCTCCTCGTGACTGAGGTGTCACTGCCAGTACCTTCCTTGAATTAAACTGCCCAATCCTGAGCAAGGTTCCTTCTCATCTTAGAAGTGGAGGAGAGAAACAATGAGGGGAGGGGAGCCAGCCTGGGAAGCCTGAGCATTTCTGTGTCGTACCCGTCAGCGCCTTGGGCTTTACAAATCTCCAGCTCACACTTTCCCTTAGCGCATGAAATAAAAACCCCACCAAGTTAATGTGACACAGAGATTGTAACGAAGATGCTCCATCATATTCAGGAATAAACGAGAAGCACCTCAGCTGACCTTGCACACAGTTGTTCCTCTGCCCACGCAAGCATCTCTGAGGTCACCTGAGGGGCTAGCCTTGGAATCTCTTCCATCCCCTCCGGGAGACCTGCCCTCAAATTACAGTGCTCAGTCCAAGTGTGAGGAGGGCAGGAGCGGCAGGGAGTGGGAAGGGAAGGGGACAGGGCTGGAAGCTTCTCTGACTCCTCTCTGTGTTCTACTCACTGGCTTGTAAGGGGAAGAGGGCTACACCTGACTGCTGCTTTCTAGAGCACCAGCTCTCACACCGCCTTCATCCTTTAACGACCTCATTCCCCAAATGGGCCTTCCACCCTCAGCGCTCCCTGCACTGACTGTCTCCACGCCCTGTGCACCGATTCCACAGCGAGACACACAGGGCAGCTCCTAGGGCTCAGCTGAGCACAGCTGCGGTGGAGAGAGGCACAGAGCAGCAGACAGGCCTGGGCTTGGCCGCAGACCTACTCTGAGCTGCAGAGGTGCCTCTGATGAGACTGAGTAGAAGGTCCCCTGGAGATTCTTCCTGCACATCTGCACAGCCCTCTGAGCCCTCCCTCTCCATGCTCCTCCCAGGTAGCCGCCCACCTTGCATTTGAAGGGCTTCACATCTGAGTGGACGATCATGTGCGCCTTGAGGGTCTGTTTCTGCACGAAACTCTTGTAGCACAGGTGACACTGGTAGGCGCGGATGTTGGTGTGGATTAGCACGTGTCTCTTCATGTTGGCCAGCAGAGTGAACTCCCGCCCGCAGATCCCGCATTTGTGCTCCTTCACGCCCTGGGAGGGGGCAAGATGCAAAAGAACCGTGGTTAGCAGGTAGCAGACTTTCATCAGGACAGTAGTCTTTGCTTTTCTCTCTGCCACATAAATCCACGAAGGATTTGGTGAAAGATGTTGAGTTCCAAATGGTGTGCCTGCAGCCTTGTTAAACTACTATTTTCTTGAAAAGTGTTGATTACGTAATCCTTTTTTTTCTTCTAAAAACCATGAACTAGCCAGACTGTTAGAGGAAAAGAAAGCTACTGCTTTTGTTGTTCCTGCTGCTGCTGGGGTTAATTCTATGGTAACAGTTCTCAGGGATTAATAAGATTTTGGTAAGAGCACCATGGAATGAATGGTATGTGAAATGAGTCTAATCCGGCTTTCGTGATAATGAAAAAACAAAACCCCCTAAACTGATCATATCATTTCCCATATGAAAACCAATGTTCTCTTGAGTTCTCATTAATGGATTTGAAAATCCAAGAACAACTCACATCCACACTTCAAAAAATTACAACTCGATAATCACCTCTTGAGATGGTCCCCTGGGCTCCCACGGGCCACAGTGGCCTCTGTGTGATTTGGCTATGGAGCCTCCAAGCCGGCTTCTGTCCGATAGAGCAATTTGGCAGAGGACAGCTTTCTGAATTAGAAAAGGGGAAAGAAGAAGATTTTCTAGTTCCCTTGCTGTTTGTGAAGTGTTTTAATACTTAAGCATCAATGCCCTCAACTGAAAGCACTTCTAGGGACTCTCGGCGTGAGTAGAGTATTACCTAATCCTGACTAACCAGTGCTTGTCTGAAACAGCCGTTGCAAGAAATCTTGACCCAGAATGACTTTTTGGAAGGACCCAGAGCCATGGTATTAAAACTAGGTTATTGCAGGTTTCGAACAAGTCATTTAGCTAACAACTGTATCTTATAAAACCCATATGGCCTGATATTCATAGTGACCTAAGGCAGGAGGGGTTCCAAGGTTCCCTCTGCCTATATTTTCATCTCTTTAATTTGGGACATGGTAAGAGAGTACCACTCAGTTTAGGTGAGCCCATGGCACTAAAGGGTGAGTTTGGGTCTCTGCCCAGCTCTTTACTGGCTGCATAACCTTAGATGAGTCCCGCAGCCTTTCCTGGTGAAGGCTTCCTCATCTCAAGTTGACGTGCTGGGACATGAGAACCCGGGGGCTCTTTCTAACTGGAATACTGTCTAGTCTAGATGATTGCAGATGAGTATGGATTTATGCTAATGAAGAGATCTAAATTTTAATGTCCTCCTAAGAAGGTGAATTTTTTAAATGTGTTGCATATTCAAACAGTGAGTTTAAAAGTATTAAATTAATAAAAACTATTTTCTTGATGGGTTTAAAATTTACTTCAGCATCTTTCTTCTCAAGATTGTCCCTATACCTGGTTATGATCTAGTTAGTACCTACTTATCACTGTTTTTGGAATTCTCTAAAGAGAATTCTGTGAACAAAGTAAAATTCACATGTGGGCTGGCCTAGACCTCAAGTAAGTGAGAGACTGGACACAGCTTAGGGAACAAAGGAAGCTGCTGTGTCTTTAATAAGATCAATGAAATCTCAGAGAGGGGACC